TTCCCCCCCTTTTTTTTCCTCCCCCCCCCACTCCCCCCTTTTGCCTTCCTCTTTTTGTCCTTTGGGATTTCTCCACAGGCGCGCTAGTTCCTGGGTAGGAGAAAGGATACCGGGGTCCATCCCATTCCGTTGAGGTTCTTAGCGGTGGCGTAGTTTGCCGTGGAATCTGGATTGCCTGGGGATGTCCCGATCCCTCCCTCCGGTATCCGAGTAGCTTTGGGTGTCTTTGGGCGACGAGTGTATCTCTGGAAGCCACCTTTCAGATTCCGGGGGTGGTGGCCGAAGGAGTATGCTTTGTGGCGATATCCGGCCGCCCTCTCTTTTGTCCACCGAGGTAGCTCGGCAGATGTGAGGTTGCTATCCCGGATTGTTAGTTTACTAGCATGTTGGGTAGGGTATGGCACGGGTTCCATGCTGCATCTGCGCTACTTGCGGTGCTGAGGTCCTCTTGGGCGTGGAGGGAGATTTCTGGCCCTTTCATTCCTCCTAGGACCTATCCCTCCCCGGTCCCCCCTTTTTTTTTCTTTTTTTTATTTTTATTTTCTTTCTTCTTTCTTTTTTTTTCTTAAAAACAAAAAGAAAGAAGTAACCTAACCATGGCAGCCTAGTCCATGAACCTGGTACCCCCGGCCCCTTCTTGATACCGCACCCATTCTGACCCCCGCCTCGTCTTTGGACCACTCTTCAGACATTCCTCATGCCTCTGTACCTATTGCCGGTGCTGTTTCCTCACCCGCTTCAGGTACTGAGGCCTCGACTGACTCCTTCAATTTATCAGACCTTCGCTCTCCTCTGACTATGCTTCCGGCCTCTCCCTCTACGGTGCGGCAATTTTCAAATCGCCGACCCGTTCCACGTCGGACCAACTCTGGTCCCACGCCTAAACGTCAACGACAATTACCTGCTGATGATACTTCTCCACCTTCACCTTCTCGTTCTTCTCAGAAACGATCGACACAGCCTTCACTACCTTTCCACTCAGTTCAGACTGAACAGTGGACTAAATTCTTCACTTTACGACCAACTTCCTCTACTGCCTATCTTTCTGACCATAGTATTGGCAAGGCACTCCTACGCCATGTTGGTAAAGATATTTCTTTTCATGCTCTTAAGAGGGTACGCGCATCATTACCGTACAGAATGCTACCCAGGCTCGTGAGCTCTCTCGTCTTTCCCATATAGATACTGTTCCTGTCACCCTTGAAAAACATCATTCCCTCAATTCTTGTAGTGGTACCGTCATTCTGCCCCATACCATAGTTCAACAAAAATTTCCAGACATGTGGCACCGACATTCTAGAACAGCTGGAACTCCAAGATCTCCCAATCCTCAAGGTAGACACTTACGTTCTTCCTGCCCGTGGGCGGAGACGATACCCTAGCAATGTGGCTCGTTTAACTTTTGACAGCCGAGAACTCCCATCCTCAGTTTATATAGCAGGACATCGGTTACCAAGTTCGAAAGGTGATCCCTACACCACAACAGTGTAGAAATTGCTGGCGATTTGGCCATCCAGCGAAATATTGCAGATCTATCGCCGAATGCCCAGTCTGTGGTGCCGATGACCATTCTAATACGTCTTGCAATCGATCTCCCTCTTGCCTTAACTGTCATGAGGCTCACCCTTCGTACTCTCGCCGTTGTCAGGTCTATTTAAACGAGCGGGAAATCTGTTACCTCAAAGAGACAGAAGGTCTCCCTTATGCCATGGCAGTTTCTCATCTCCGCCTCCAAGGGAGACTCCCACGTGTTTCTTATTCCCGTGTTTCAAACCATCCCCCCACTTCTGGTATCCCATCTTCTACACCCACCTCTGTGGTTACCTCTCCCATAATCACTCCTGTATCTAATCCTTTTGCTGTCCTCGGCTCAGACGTCCCTACTTCAATGCCTCAGTCTAATCTTGCTTCTTCGAGTTCTCTCTTACAAGCCTCAGTATCGACGAGACCTCGTACGACACCTCCTCCCAATCGTCCCTCTACTTCTCAAAAGTCAAAAAAAGGTCCGGTAACACCTCCTACCCATCTTCCACCTCCTCATTTTACCCTCCCTGTCTCTGTCCCTAGTTCTTCCCCTCTCACTGGCTCAGTTACAAGTGCAGAGGTTCACCCTCCTCCTCGTAATGTACCTTCCTCCCCTGTTCCCTCCCAAGTTTTTTCCTCTTCTTGGTCCACCTCCCAGGTTCCTGTCCATCTTCTGTCCCCTGCCACGTTCTCCAGTTCCCTCACCCTTTCGCCCCCCCCCCCCTACCTTGGTACAGGTCCAATACAGTTCCAATTCTTTACTCATCATACCCCTACCCCCATATTCCCAAATATTGTCTCCCATACGACAATCTTCTGAAAATTCCGAAACACTTGAAAGCAATCTCTGATTATATTGCAGAGACCAATACCATCAATGGACACGATCCACCTTCGCTCTTTACTCTCTCCTTGCTCCATCTGCGCAACTCTTTCTTCACAGCGCACCGTTCCTTCGCTGCTTGAACATTTTCCACTGCCTCCGAATCGTGGACTTTTCTAACCATTCTAGTCCGTAGGAACCATTACCTGCGTGATTTCAAGTATCTTTTCATTGACATCATGGCCTTTTTACAGTGGAATATACGCGCCCAGGGGTATATCGGGGTGTGCTTCAGATGTTACTCTCCCAGTTGCCCTGTTGGGTTTGCTTACAGGGACCAAAATTTACACTCTGCTGTTATTTCTTCCCCAACAAAGACATTTTCTTTTTTTTTTTTTTCAGGGGGGGCTATAATTTATTGTATTCTTCAAGATCCTTATCCTGATGCGGACCTTTAATGAAAGTGCCCTATCTCTCCGCACTGATTATTCCGTACCATCAGCTATTTGTTCATACTTCGCTGCATTACAAGAGCCCGTATCCACTTACTAGTAGGTGGTATACGCTCTTTCTTATATCTTCCTCCTTTTTTTCTTTCGGGCATTATTCTATTCCGGTTTTTGCCTTCTTGTTTCGTCTTTACCGCCCACCGATTCTGTCTACTGGTGATTTTAATGCCCACCATTTCTTGGGGGGGGGTCTCACTGTTGATTCCCGTGGAATTCAGTTAGAGGGCTTTTCTTGCCCCCATGCCCTCCATGTTTTTAATACAGGTACTCACACCATTTTGTTCCTCGGACTCATATCTCATTCCATCGATCTCTCAGTTAGCTCTTCCTCGCCGCATTAGACTTCACTTTGTGGTCTGTTTCTCCCGGACTTACATGACAGTGATCATTTCCCAATCATTCTTACTTCCCCTTATATTCGCCATCTCTTCGCACCCCACGCTGCAATTTTAATCGGGCAAATTGGAAAACTTTACTCTCACACCTGATGGTTTTTGAAGAGGTTCCTATTCGTCCTCCATCGATAAGCTTTTACACCTCTTCTCGTCCTCCGTTTTGTCACCGCAGCTTCTCATTCTTATACCCCAAACTTCGGGCAGGCAATCTCAGAAATGGTGCCTTGGTGGTCTCCTGCTTAGTGCTCGTGCAGTACGTTTGAAACGCGCTGCATGGGGCAGTACCAGTACATAGAACCACAGAAGCGACTCCTTGATTTTAAACAGAAGCGTGCTGATCGCTCCGCCGTGTTCATCTGTGACGCCTAAACGCACTTGCTGGCGAGATTATGTCTCTCCATCACCTCTGCTTCCCTATGAGTTGGCAGTCTGGAAAAAAGTACGTAAATGAGTGGTAAATATTCTCCCTGACCCGGCTCCTGGTCTGCGGGTTGCGCAGTGTGTGATATAGCAAACCCACTAGATGTTGCCAATGAAATTGGCAATCATCTGGTCGTATTTCTCAGGGACTCCATCTATGCCTCTCTTTCTTTCCCTCAAAGTCTGCCAGAGAGTTAGAACCCTTGGAACTTTGTTCTCTCAGAGAAGGAACAGTATAATGTGCTTTTACACTTCAAGAACTGGAGGCAACACTCTCAGCTTGTCGATCATCGGCTGCTGGGCCCGACGGACATTCATATTCGTATGCTACAACATTACATCATCAGCCTTGCAGTTCCTATACGCCTTTACAATCCTATTTGGTCCAGTGAGTTCTATTCCACAGCTGTGGAATCCGCCTTTGTTCTCCTTTCCTGCAAACCAGGCACTACGGGGACATGAAAACCTCCCACTATCGTCCCATTGCTCTACAGTGCGTTTGCAAAGTAATGAACGTCTATTAAATAGACGTTTAGTGTGGTATTAGAGGACACACACTGTCTCTCCACTCGTCAATATGGCTTTCGTAAGGGACGTTCTACCATAGACCCCTTTATGCGCTTGATACGTTATTGATTCGTAATGCCTTGCAAATAACCAATCAGTTATTGCCATATTTTTGACCTTGAGAAGGCATTATGACAAACAACTTGGAGGTATAATATTTTAGCCCAAGCCCACTCCTTAGCCTTCGAGGCAA